GAAACACGAATTATCGGGTTTCCGTGCGCGACCTTGCCACAAATACGGGGATTGTCGTTCGCGTTATTAATCCGATTTAATGGAGCGACTCCGGCGGTATTATTTCTGCATTTTACTGCTCACGAGATCGGGCTATATTTCTAAACGCTGGCAACTCACCGTGATTGCCAGCCTTTTCAATTAGATCCGCAAATCCTCTTTGATTCGGTGCGCCGGCCAACGTGCCGCCGATTTCCCGGGGTCATAAACGTTTTGACGATTGCATCCGGCGCCATGCAGATGCCAATCACTGCTGATTGCTGACATCGTTATGTACGAACTCGCGGGGCACCGGCGGAAAAACAAAAGTGAACGAGAGAGAAAGAGAGATACGAAGAGAATGCAAAATAAAATTGCAATTTTTCCGCGAATGAGGAACGTACTTGCCATCGCACTGCCAATTATCAATTAGCATAGAGATGCGAACAGCCCGACAACTAAAACCGATATAATTCCCGCGAAGAGGCGAAAAATGGACGCGCGTAAGAGACAACCAAGTTTATATTCGCCATGAAAACGCCGCGCAATCCGGCCATTCGAAGGAGCAGTGACGTGAATTACGTCCTAACTCATTTCGAGGCAACAAAAGCGCTCGCGAGAGTGCTTAACGTAAATTACAGATGATTTATTATGGCATTCTTTTTTCCGCGAAAGAGAAACACGCAAATTCATTTTGTGCCGAAGTAATTAACCCTTTGTTCCGCAACGGGCATGGACGCATCGTTGGGCGACCTCTACGACTGTCCGGATTTTCACGTTCTCGTCCTTCATAATAAACAACAATAGGCAGTTTTAACTCCTCGTGGAAGATTAATTTCGCGCCCCCTGCCGAAAGAATAAGAGATCTCGCGGCGCCGGTCGAAGTGACGGCACGTCATTCTGAATGATACGCAAGAATAACTTATATTATAGTGAACTCGATCGAGAGTATTGAACTATATAACAAACTGGAATGACCACTGTCTTTGTTCCCATCAGATGACCTTGTTCCGAGAAAGATAGTATCCAAATAGAATCTCCGTCTTTCTTTATAACATATTACTTGAACTAAAAATTTAAACTTACGCTAGCAGTAAAGTTGCGTACGAAAATTGTACACAAGATGCTTCGTACGTAAGTAAGGAGCTTAAAAGATCTGAAAAATTTGAAATGAAAAATTATTTATATAATTACTTATATAAATAAAAAACACAGTGAAATATTGCACATCGACGTCCTGGCTAAAGTGAGATTAAAGATTGTACATACGAATATATTATGAAAAGTTAGGAACAATGGACCATAGCATGTTAATAAAAGAGAAGGATATAGCATGACTATAGCAAGTTAGACAGAGAATGATATTCCACATTGTACATGGCCTTTATCTTACAGAAGGCACGTCCCCTGTCACATTGCAGGTCCAAGTGTGTTATTTCTATGCATAACGTCTAAAAGTGACAAATTTGGCTGAAACACTTTTTATATGTTTTTCATTGTTTTAACTTACGTCACTTGACACGTTTAATCGTTAAATTATAAGTTAATACGTCTAATAATGTTAAATGACGTGATTTAAAACGATAGAAAGTGTGAAGAAAAACCTCAGCTAAAATAACACACTTGGATTTGCAGTGTTCGTTCCAGTTCGTTATATAGTTCGATCATCAGAGGGAGATGCATTGTAGAGAAACGGATTTAGTTTGTATTCGTCCGAAAAACGAGGCCCATCGTCGCAGGCTTACATCAGCTATTCCGCGTTTTTCGCATATACAGCGGAGAAAATTGCGCTCTCCGATGTCATACCGGATTATACCGGCTAGATTGAACCAATAGGCAAGCCACATTTTATTATCAAATAACCGGTGACCCGACAACGAAACACGCTAGGTGACGAGTGACACACTTTTTCGCCATACTCGTGATTGATGGTGATGTGCGCTTCGCACGTTATAACAACGATATAACAATCCCCGACGTTCGATAACCTCGAAGGGGGCGTACGTTATCGCCGATCAATTGGATAACCACGTACGGGGGTTCCAAGGGGTTATTAATTGGACTGTTATTAATTCAACATGCTCCCCGCGAGTTCTCGCGTGCTCTCGTGAACAGCGAGAGGCTGTAGATCTTAGTTACCCTATAGAGGCCAGTACCCGGACTATGAATCTTATTAAAGTGTTCCGTCTCTCCACTTACGTAATTACTATTAACAACATACAGGCAAGCGTAACATTCGTCTCACTTTGCTTACCGTAATAATAATATCCGTCTCGGTATAGTTAACTGTTACACAATAGTTGCGTGTTACACAATCGAGTCGCGAAAGGATTCCATATTCCTTAGGATTCCCTTTTCTCGTATATTCCGTGCGCTTTCACGAAGGGGACTAGAAAAGTGCGCTAAGATTCAAGTGTCTCATCGCAGTGAAGCGTTCGCGCAGCTCCGGAAAGAGTATGAAATTTAAATTCTCAACGATGCGAAGCGAATATCCCGACGAAGAGAACTCTTTATTACGAGAGAATTGTCGTATATTGTCCGCTATCGTTATCGTTAACGGGGTCTCAAGAATACGTATAAGAGTCCGCACAGCTGTCTGAGAAATAACATTTGCGCGACGCGTTACCTAGCTGACGCATCTACCTATTGATTTAGCGCTCAGTTTGCGCCTCGAATAGAATCAACGCTACCGTCGCTTCGTGTATTTTACGGAATGATTACCGAAACACGATTAGAAGCTGTCGCTCGATGCGCGACGTTTAATTAGGCAATAATTAACGCTTGCTCCAATTTCAAAGTCCTGGCGGCGCGAGCGAGCACACGAAGCTGTCGGAGCGACGATGTCCTCTACGGCGAATACAAAGGAGGGAGCAGAACAAGCATCCGTCCCTCGTTCATTCGCCTCAATTATTTTGCGTGTCTTTCGTGAACGCGAGCGAGCATTTTTGGGGCGAAGGAGGCGTCTGTTCGCGCGCGATTACATTCCCCTCGAAAAATCTCATTACAGCGATCGCCACCGCTCCAAAGCATTCGGAATACTTAATCGCCGGGCTAAACAAAGTATGTCGAATAATTAAAACGAGCACTGCTCGCGAAAGTAAGGCAATTAGTTCCGTAGTAGCGCCGTTATAATCCAGAAAGGAAGTTGCTTAAAATAGCCGGAGCCCTGCTGAAACTTTTATGATAATAGCCGAGATTACGCTTTTTTTTTTGCATTATCCGCCAGTGAAGTAAAAAGCGTGTTTGTCGCGTTTTATCTATGGTTACTTTGAGGTCTTACGGCTCTTAATAGTCAGAAGGAGATCGATACATCATTAATTCATCCGGGACGTCGATAAGTTTTATTAAGAATAAATGTCCGATATTAGCTCGAGGAAGAAGTGTTTCGAGATGCTCGTTAGAGGAGAGTTTCCTCTCATTAAAGACACTCGCGATGAAAAATGTTATACATGTAAGTAAACTAATATCTAAATATAATATCTAAATCTAATTGCACTTAAAATAACGCGTTACGAGCGGATGCAAAATGATCTTGCTCGCGCGTTCGCAAAGTGCCGTTTTTTGTCACGGAAGAGAGGGGGGGGGGGAGAGAGTAACTGCGGAACTTCGTCGTCCCGAAAATTCCGGCGAAAAACAAAAACGGAGATCGGAGTGGAGGGCAAACGGAGAAAAACGGCAGAATGTTGCAGGGTAAAGCACCATAAAGTCTCATTGGCTTTAATTCGGTTGTACCCCACCGGCCACTGGGAGTGATTAATCGTAACGTTACTGCAACACGAAAGCACCTTACCACCGATCATTCTCTGGGACGCTTTAAAAGAAAGTCGACTATGTTGCTTAATGCTTTCTCGCCTAATTGGTGATATTTGTCCTGCGAGAGAAATGGACTGACCGGAATTTTTTTCATCGGAGTAACCCGCGTCCGTGAATTAATTTTTCCGAAGGCAAAAAGCCAACTACAACCAACTAAGAAATTTCCTTTTATGAACGGAAATTTTTAATTAAATCACAGAACGCTATTAATCTGAAATTATGTAAATATTATGTGTTACACGCCTTAGATATTTCGAGAGATTCCTGTCAGCTCATTTCGTTAGCAACTACTAAAAAACGACACCTACATTTATTAAAATTCATCGTAAAAGAAAGAAGGGACCTTCGGTTTATGATGATGAAAAATTCAGCCACTCCTAAAAGGAAAGGGGAAAAGAGGATCAATATTTAATCTTTAAATAGAGCAGAATATACACATTCTTATGCCTTACAGTATCCCTTATTAAATCTTGGAAGTTTTTAAGAGCCGTCTTTAATTTTTTATTGCATCTCCCTCGGACCGGGACGAGGGATCCATAGACGAAAACGCAGCTTATCTGGCACACCCCTCTGCTACATATCGAAGATATCTCTTTTATTATCAGAGAATAAACCTAAAAATTATCGTCCCGATCCCTGAAAACTACCGAATTAAGCGGACTTCGTTTTTTTTTTTTCGAGACGGCTGAGATTTATGCTTAGGGGGACGGAAAAGAGAAGCAAAGTACGATTGTTCGCGCGCGCGCGCGCGCTATTATACGCGGAAGATATTAAGTAAAATTATACGCGCTACATCGCTCACAAAATCGAGGAAGGAGAGCTTCGACACCGCCGTACGTACACACGACGGTTGCAATAAATACGGCAGATATTCGGAAATGAAATGCTGCATTTAAATCCGTTCGTCGGTATTTAAAAGCGAAGTATATCATCCTCCGGAACATAATCCGCGCGCCGCGAGCGCAGGTCACGCGAAACGAAACGCTTATGAATTCTCGAAGAGTACGTTTATTTCCCGTCGCTTATAAATATGCATGCCACTGTAGTTCGCGGCGCGGAACCGCCGACTGTTCTCTCTTCCTCTTTTTTTCCGGCCTTCTTTTTTTTTCGTTCATTCCCGTGCCGACCGACCGCTGATTGAAAGCATACCCCCGTCGTTGCTGTTTCAGCTGCGCGAGTACACCCTGACCGAATCGTATCACGAAGACGACGTCGAAGTGGAATTCGTCAGCAACGACAATCTGCAAGCGAACAGCGAGGCTCCCAGAGGAATCGATCCGTTTAGGGACCTAAACGAGGCCATAGCCGAGGAACGGAGAGAAATGGACACCCAGAGATACAGGTAGGTTTCTCCGCTACCGAAAACCCAACACGCCGGCCTTTTTCATCCGTCCATCCCTCTCCTCCTCCATCCCCATCCGCCTCCTCCAAACTTTTTACCTCGTATTTCCCGCGCAGTCGGGAGTGAAGAAAGTCGCGTTTCGCGGCGCTGCTCGGCGGCCGGACACGAAAATCAAAGAGCTCCCATTTCCTGCCTATTTTATCACGCACCTGCGTTTTCGACCGGATTTATTCGATTATGCCGGACAAGTCGAGCGTGAAATTTTGGGGAAGAAATTGAGAGGGGATTTTAATAGTCTTCCTCACCGAGAATCGCCGCGAATGCAACGGAGCCAAACCCTCCACACGCGAATGCGATCAAATATTTCTCACGGAGCGGTCACACGACCGCACGTGTTTCGCTCGTTCTCCTCTTGTGTACCTTCCTGAAATATCTACGCGTTCAATTGAGAAGGGATAGGAGATAACAGTATCTCATAAATCCACGCTTAATAAGACCGAGGGTCCGAGAAAAATCCCGAGGTTCGAGTCAGCTCGTTAAGCCTAGCTGGTACCTGGTACTTTCTGCAAGTTTTAGTTCCTCCGGGACATCACCCGAGGTGAGGCTTTTAAGCCCGGGATGTGGAACGATAGATAGTAAAGGCCTTTTGCGGCGAGAGAAAGAGAGAGAGAAAGAGAAAAGAAAAAGAAGAAGAGAGAAGAAGCAGAGAGAAAGAGAAGGGAACAAAGGTAGAATAAGATCGCATCAATGACGAGTATGTATTCAATGGACGCGGCTGCGTCAAATGTGTTTCATCCCGGAAAAGCGATGATGGCTCGACAACGTTCGCATATTGGCATCGAATTTGGGAAATGTTGCGTCATTGATCGTCTGAGAAAGCAGTCCGCGCGCGCGACTACCCCCCGTCTCTCGCTTTTCTTCCCGGGAGAAAATCGAGAAGAAAAGGCGCGCGTCGAGAATCGTGCAATTCTCGCAATAGGATAATGCAGAATGCAAAACGTCGAGTCACCTTTCTCGCGGCGAGGCTCGGAGCGAGCGGCGAATACTTAAAGCGCTCGAGAGCAACGCGCCACTCGCTGCGTCGTGAGATATCTGTCGAGAGTGACTCCATATGCGCGCGTGGGCAAAATACCTACGAAAGGGGAGCTCCCGATGCCCCGATACCGATTCTGAATAGTTCAGTCAGCTAGCTCGGTGAAGCCATTTCAAATATTGGGTCAGTCAAAGAAATACTCGGTTCGATTTTCAATTCGTGTCGTCGCATTCGTGCGATACAGGTGAAATTTCTCATAATGTTCTGTCATTAGAACGTTGGCGAAGGACACGCAACGAGGACAATTACTCGGTTGATGGATAATTCGTTTCTATTGGAGATGCAACAAAGTCAAGTTCGACCTGAAAATCGGAGCGAACTTTATGACAGGTTCAACACGTTCTGGCCCAACCGTATTAACTACATGAATAAGTTGAGATAATTCGAATCTAAAAATGCAAAAAGGGAGGGAAACGAACGGTCGTGAGATACTTAACGTCTCGACACGTAACGTACGGTAACGCGAAAGTAACGCATTTCCCAAAGATCACGATGGACTTTCGAAAAAGTTCCACCTTCGACCGCCGTGCACTTTGCAACTCGTTCGCGACACGTGTTCGCTGGAACTTTTTTCCCTTCCGATCGCCGATACCATCGTCCGGCCAAGTACCGATCTTTTCTTCCGGGATACCCGCGCGTTTCTCTTACTTTATGAAATGCCCTGTATACGCTCGACGAGAGATCCGTCCAACCTTTCACTCTCTTTTATAGCACGGGCTCGAATCGCTCTTCTTTGCCTTCCGCCGGCGCCACCTCTTCATACCCTTACGAGATTCCTCGCTCCTACGTCCCTCTAACACCCTCTCGCTCTATTTCTCTCTTTAACTTTTACGACGGTGCCGCGAGCGACTCGCATGAAGATCCCCGGGTTTTCTTCCCACGGATGCCGCACGGTCGCCTGCGTTCGGCGGAAAAATCGCCGGGCTAGCTTCTGTGACATTTGACAACTCTATGTGACGTTCGCGCGATAATAGAGCGAGCGGAAGTTCATACACGTCCCGGGGAAAAAAAGCCGCTCGTATGAAAGACACGACTCTTCACTCGCTCCCCGATAAACGTCCCTCTTTTGTCCCTCAAATTAACCCCGATGAAATTGTCTATTCTTTATTCCCAATGCACACCGCGGGTGAATCACCGTGAGCGCCGCCGTTCGCTCCAATTGCGCGGAAATAAAAGTTTAAGGGGGATTTATGGGAATGTTTTAAGAGACCGCTTCTGCACACACAGAGCTAATATAAAACGCGTCCGTGTTTCCGGAGAATCCGAAAGAAAACTTTCCGTTCAGGANGGGGGGGGGGGGGAGAGCAAAGTCGTAAAGTAGTAAACGGCCGTAGTAATCTCGCGTTGCCGATATGGACACGAAATTCGCGCACGGCTTACCGACTCGCCGACTTCAACAACGCGATTCCACCGATAACCAATATTCGCCTGATAAAAGGAAAAACTAAACTCAAATCCAGATTAATCTTAATGACTTTTATAACTTCTACCCTCCCTGGGTTGAAACTGCAGAAATGTTACCTGAAATCAATCGTGCACGACTTTCGGACTCGGAATGACATAACGTGTTTACCCGCGCCGAAATAATATGTTCCATTAATGTTTTGCGAGGCGGCTCTTCAGAAAACGCGCAGTCACGGTGCGGATAAAAAAAAAACCATGAAATCCGCGTATGACCATGGTGCGCCGGCGGAGGACTAATTGTCGACTGTTAACACGGGAACGTATATTGTACGCACAACGAGGAGAGTAATATTCTTTTTGTTTATGAGCGAGGGAAAAACCGGGCCGAAGTCACAAATGCAATTTATTTCGAAACGCAACTAGTCAGATTGGCGCGACCGACATTGAATACCAATAACGATATTACTGCCCGTGGCTGTCGAGCGTCTGATGCACGTCGGTGTGTCGACCCGGCAAACACACGGCAACTTATTACTTCGATATAATACCGCACCGCCTGTACGACCATCTTCTCACGTCCGCGACCGTCTTCTTGTACCGGCGAATGCACCGGGGACGGCGCGCCGCGCTTTGAGAGCCGCGCTTTGAAGTTATTCGAGGTCGACCGCGGGACCGGGCGACTTTTATCATAATGAACGTTGAATTAACGGATACTTCCATTAACTTGGACGACAGTACGGGAAATGAGCATTTGCGCGCACATCGACTCGATCGAATTTGTCTCGATGTAAAAGCTGTGCCGTTGAAATCGTTACTGTCGTAATTATTAACCCTTTGCACTCGAGGGCTCCGGAGCGGAGCCACTTAAAATTTGTCTTCAAACTCGAGGGTTCCGCTATGGAGACAATGCAAATAACTTTCAGTTCATAACATAAGGACAAAGACAAATCGTAAAATTATTGTGTATAGGATATTCCGCTCTTACTATTTGAGTTTGAAGAGTTTCAAGACAAATTTTAAATGGCTCCGCTCCGGAGCCCTCGAGTGCAAAGGGTTAAACAATGATATACAACTTACGGTGTCGCTTGCCAAAATTCACCGAAATTAAATCACGTATAAATTTCTTATTAGACTGTAGAAACGAAGCAAGACCAACGATACGTCAATCGTAAGAGACCCTTCGCAATCACGCGCGCTCCCGCGCTAAGAAACCAGTTTGGTCCTTATAAACAGAAATTGCGTTTCCTTCCGAACCAAGAACATGTTTGGTTGCCTATTTTCAGATTGATCCAACCGAATTGATTTCTCAATGCGCGACAGGGAAAGAATAAATAACGCCTTTAAAAGCGCTTGATATAAATTTCGTAGCGAAACGCGTAATGGACGCGCGCCGCGCCATAAATACCTATCTCTCGCGTTTAAGGCACAATTGAAGCTCCCATAAATTCAATGTTTCCAACCGGCGTAAAATTCCGCCATCTTATCTCGCATCCGCAACACATTTGGCGGGCGTTCTCAATGCGGCACGTTCTGTGCGCGTATACCTATATGCACGCGCCCCGAATATTATTTATCTTTCCTGCGTTGAGAGAAGTCGGCGAGCCCGCGCGCCGTAAAAATGGCGCGGCGTGACGCTTTCAAGAGTCGAAACGGACTTCCCGCCTCGCGAGCCCGGCGTGCATAGCCGGGATGCACATACGTTTGACACTCGATGGCTGATTACGATATCACCTTCCGCGGCCGTCCCGCGACAATTTCTGCCGCGATACGGTAGCCGGTGCGTCCGGTTCGCCGTAATATCCGGCCGGAGCCCCGACGTTATGTCAAGGCCGACGGAAAACATCGACGTCGTCGACACGCGCGGCCATGCACGTATACGCGCGGGGAGCGGCCTGAAAATAACGTTATAACGCGCTGCTCCCTGCTATATTGCCTACCACATTTTATACTTGTTTTACTTCTCTCCCGCCGTATGGCGGACGTGCCAGGGATGGCGCGACGCGACGGTAAGAAGATTTTCATGACCTCCAATTTCGATCGAGCTGTCCGACGAAATTGGGAAAATAAAGGGGATATTTTCTCGAGAGTCTCTGATCGAGAGAGAGAGAGGGAGGAGGGGGAGGGGAGGGAGGAGGCGGTTGCGCGAAATATTACAGACGGCGGGCAAATATTTGCGCGCACCCGGGAGAGAAAAAAGGAAGATCCTCGCGCGTGGGCTCGGCGCGTAGTAGGAGCGAATCCGAAGGGGATGGAAGACGTGCCGGTGTTAAAGACGTCTCGATTCAATCGCGCGAGACGAGAACGCACTTCGAAACGCACGTGGAACGTCGGATGAAAAGAATCCGATAACCCTCGAATAGTAAAGTTCATGCAGTCACATGTGTAACAAAGTAGGTCCCCGATCGGTAGAAGTATTTTGCAGATTTTCCGGCTAATTTTCTTCGACTTAGAAGCACACCCCAATTAATTTCTAATCGGGATTAGGATTATGGATCCGACCGGG